TCATCAAGGCACGCCCTTCCCTCACCTCAAGCTCTTCTCTGGCAAACAGCCCCCCGTGTTTCAAGACTCATCTCAGGTTTCATCTCCTCTTGGAAAACTTTCCTTACCTCCTAAGGCTAAATCAGTGCTGCTTCTCTCTGCCCCACAGCACTCCTCACACTGTGCTAATTACCCATCATGGTACAGACCATCACCATCAAATACTGTGAGCCTGTCTGCCTCCCCTCTGAGCCTGTGCTCCTCTTACATCTCTGTGTCTCCAGCATCCAGCAGAGAGAAGGAGGCACCAGGGAGCAGGTGGTGCAATATTTGTTGAATGACAGGCTACTCTTCTTACTTGTTTTTAGGCGGCTGTATCTTACCCAAGCTGCTGGACAGGAAGTGCCACCTGAAGAAATGCGTTTGGAATTGCCAGAAACATATATAGGTATTATTTTATTGTAATGGTGATTTCTTAAAATTTAACAAACATTTATTGAGCTTTTGTTATGGACAGGCACCTCAAATCCAAGAGCTATTCAGGGAATAGACACATGCCAGCTCCTCCGTATTTCTCTTGTTCCTGCAGAGCTTACCTAATCCATCTCCTTTCTCTAGTCCAATTTTCAAGTCCAAGTCACCACACCAGTGAATTAAATAGACACTGGTGGAGAGGGATGGAACGATGTCTACTCTGGCATGGTTTGGGTTCCAATTTAACCAACCAACCAAAATACCAACACACACACAGGTACCCACGTGATTATTGTAACTTATTAGCTAACAGAAGGAAATACAACGCAGAGGTGGTTTCTAATAATGGGACTCACTCTCACTTTAATACCCAGATTCTACATTTCTGATTCCTCTCCTGTACGAGATTCTCAAAGGTCTTTCAAACTTAAAAAATGTGACAAAGTATATACTGTATTTTTATCTGTCCCAAAATTGTACATAATTAATTTCTTTGTATTCATCCCAGGAAAGCCACAACCGCAAGCTGTAGAAGTAAAAAGCAGAGACACAGTGAGCTCATTACTTGGGAGCAGTGCTTTCCATCCAGGTGACGAGGACAGCGGCAGATACGGCGAGCACCTGAAGACAGCTGGAGAAGAGAGCTCAAGTATAGAGTTTGGGGCCTGTGATACGAAATACTTGCTGAATGAGGATGAGCAGGATTTCAAGGTAAGAATCATGAGAAAACAACTCTGACTACTAAGAGCGTGTGGTTTTATTAGTTAATGGAGAAAACCTAGAATATGGACACTGAAAAATTCTATTTTCAATTATTTGTAAAATTTTCCCACCATTCACATCTCTCACTAGATAACTGTTTTCACTCCCACCCTTGCCCAGTCTGCTACGGACACTCATTTACAGACCCCCGCTCCTAGTACACCATGCAAATTATCCAGTGCTACACAACAAATTACCTCAAGACTTAGTGGCTTCTAGCAATGATCATTTACTCTCCTTCAGAGCTTCTGCTGGTTGGAAATTTGGGAAGGTCTCCAGCGGACAGTTTTCACTCATTTTCTCTAGCAGTTGTTGTCACACGTTGGCAGGAGGCTTGCTTTGGGCAGGAAGATCACTTCCAAGGTGGCTCACTCGCATGGCCGGCAAGTCGATGCCGACTAAGCTGAGGGCCTCAGTTCCTCTTCACATGGGCCTCCTTACAGGGCACCTTCATTGTACCTTTGTACGATTAGGAGGGAATTAAGGTTATATGAGGTCATACAGATATCTGATAGGCCCTAATCTGATAGGACTACGGCCTTATAAGAAGAGGCTGCAAGAAGGCAGTTGTCAGCAAGCCAGGAAGAGTGCTCTCACCAGAGCCCAGTCATGCTGGCACCCTAGTCTTGGACTTCCCAGCCTCCAGAACTGTGAGAAATAAAGTTCTGCTGTTTCAGCCCCTCAGCCTGTGGTATCTTGTTACTGCAGCTCAAGCGGACTAATACAGCACATTACTCCAGAATCCTCCTCCAGGGGATTCTGAAATACGTGGTAGACTTGCATCAATTTGCTTTTTTCCTGTCTTACAATTATTATGGCTCTATAATTACATATTTGTAAAGCTAAATACAGTTATATGCACTGCTGAGAAATAAAACATTACCTTTTTCATTCTTTGATTGTCCTAAATTCTAATAAATGTTTATCAAGAACCCCACAACATGCCAGGTGCTTGTTAGATGCTTGAGAATTTAAGGGGGAGAACGGGAAGAAATGAAGTCTCAAAGATGCCTGTATGGTGGGCCCTACCCTGCCTCACATGCACGCTAGTAGAAGACAGATAAGAAAATCATTAATTACCGAACAGGAGGACTGTACCGCCTGTGTCTGTCTCCCTGCCCAGTCTGTGAGCTTTTCACTGCACCCCAGCACTTGGTACACAGCATGGCACATACTAGGCAGTCAGGAATGGTTTGTTGAAGAGTGGAAGGAATTCAAAAGAAGGAGTTATGGCTCGGAGAGGCTTCCAAGAGGAAGGCATGTTGGGTAGGCTGGAGCTGTTTCAACCCAGTTTTGGGGTGGCCCCTGGGATTTCATATAAATTAGACTTCTAATTGTTTGTTGATATCTTAAACTATATTTAGCTTGGCAGAATGTGGTAAGTTTTGTCTATACAGCAGCCAAAGATCTTGTGAAATGTGCAAAACTCAAGGAGATTTGTTTAATGTTAAGATATTTACAGTCAAAGATGTTTGCAGATCTTTCCCTTTGTTCTTGAATAATACAGAAAAGTCTGCTGTGGTTACACCCTGGCCAGCAGAGGGCTACATAAATACAGCCAATATTTTCTTTTACCAATTAAAGAGCCTGCAGAGGCTGTACCTCCCCTCTCTAGTTGTTGTTCCCGCCCAGGCCCCTGAGCGACAAGTCTGCCAGCCTTGTTGCCTGCTCTTTGGGAGATCTTGCCTACCATGCCCTGCTGGGCACATAAGTTTACTGAGTAGTTTTTTAATTTACAGTCGCTCTCATATTTCACGTGTTATACAGCATTCAGGTACTCAAGAGGACAATGAAATCTGTCAGGTTAAGGCCAGCTATAATAAATAAAACCTGATCTATGAAAGCTAGCAAGTTGCTGAATAACCTTTCCTATTCTCTTCTGTGTCTGTTCACCACAGGATTACGTAAAGCTGGGCCCCCTGGAAGTGAAGCTCATGACTGTGGAGAGCAAGAAAATGCCCATTCATTTCCAAGAGAAGGAAACTCCAGTCAAATTCTACGAAGATGTCAGGAGCCCAGAAAGCCACATCACATATAAAATGATGAAGTCTTTTCTCTAAGACTGAAAGCTGCAAAGTAAAAACAATATCTTATATATTTTCTTTGGGAACGGAAGTATATCAGTTGCCCATTTTATTTACACTTCGGTCCATTTTTAAAGCAGTTGTTATTTCTAAAGGTCATAACTACATTTAAAAATCAAAGTTCCAAGTATTCAGCTATTCATTTACCCGCATGGCATGAGTGACAAAAATGAAATTTCACTCTTTATTTCCATATTCAAACATTCAGGAGCAGGACAGTGGGCCAAGATGCTTTCTGAGGTTGCTTACCACTTAAAATTTTACAGATTAATCTAGGATTCCAATTCCAATAGTTCAATTAGAAATTGCCCGAGATACATTTAGAGGTTTGCATAGCACTGACTACACATCTTTCCCTGTGAGATTGCTGAGTGATTGACAGCCAGTCCACAATTCAAGCCTACTCTTCTTTAACTTAACACTGTTTATGATGAGTATCAAATATTTTAGAAACAGAATTGTAGGTGGTAACTTGTGTTATAAAAATATTCCATCAATAGGGAGATCCATCTCCCATCAGCTTTATCAGCTCTAAAGTGCTGAGACCCTATCCAAGGTCATTACTACTTCCCTCTTACTGGTACCACAGCCAAGGACACTCTGACTGTGCCTGAATTTGACACCAGCATTCCATTTTAAAGCTAGTTCTACTTATAAAGCTTTCTATAAGAAACACCATTTTTATACTCTGGTTTCTCTGCAGATTGTTTAAATCTTTTGCCTTTTACAAAAGATTTCTGTGGAGAGGAACAGTTATATGAAACGCCTTTTAAACAGAAGGCCACAGATACATTGGAAGTAAATATATCATGCAAACATTAACCAAAAGGAAGGTGGTGTGACTAAACTACTAGACATAGTAGGCTTTACAGTAAGAAGTGTTAAAAAGGTAAAGAGAAAGCAAAACATGTCATAATAATAAACAGATTAATTCATCAGGATGATATAGCAATTTTAAATAATAATATGATTTCAAAATATATAAAGCAAAATTTACTAAACTAAAAAGCAATATGGTAAACCTTGTGTTATGTATATTTTACCACAATAAAAAAAGAAAAAAAGACATAAACAAATTTACAATCAGACTTGAGAATCTTACCATCTCTCTCTCAATAACTGATAGACTGAAAAAAAAATCATTAGGGCTATAAAAAGCTGAACAACTATACTATAGAATACACATATTTTTCAAGTGTACATAAAACATTTACAAAAATAGACTATGTTGGGCCATAAAGTAAGTGGCAAGAAATATTCAAAAAGTTGAAATGCATAGAACATAGTTCTCTGACCACAGTAGAAAATAACTAAAAACAACAGTAACAGAATCAAAAAAACCTATAAATAAATTTCAAGAAAGCAAGATACTTCTGAAAAACCTGTGGGTGAAAGAAAAAATCATAAGGAAAAATACTTTGAATTCAATAATAATGAAAAACATGACATGTCAAAACTTGTGGGAACCAGCTCAACTGGTGTTTAAAGGGAAATTTATAACTTTAAGTTCATGTATTAAAAAGAAGAAAGGTTGAAAATTCAATCATTGAAGATTTTATCTCAAGAATCTAGGGAAAAAACAGCAAAAATACACCAGAAATGTAGAAGAAAGGAAATAAAAGAGTGGAAATCAATTACATAGAAAGTTGACATGTAAAAAGTAAATCAACAAGGGCAAAACCTGGTTCTTTGAAGGATTAAAATTGATAAGCCCTAGTAAGACTAACCAAAAAAAGAGAGAAAACAAACAAAACATATCATTACAGATTTTACAGGCATTACTAAAAAGATAAGAGGAGATTAAGAGTAAAGACTTTCCCAATAAATTTGACAATATAGATGAAATGGAAACATTTCTTTAAAAAAAATTTCTGAAAAACAGGAGGAAATAATCTGAATAGTCCTAGAACTGTTTTAAAAACTCAGATATGTATTTTAAAACTTTTAAAAGCCAACTGTCTTGCTTCACTAGTGAATTTTTCCAAACATTTCAAAAAGATATAATACCAAATGTACACAAACTCAGAAAACAGAAAAAAAAAAGAAACACTTCCAAATCATTCTATGTGGTCAGTATAATTCTAATACCAAAACCTAGCAATGTCATTATAGAAAAAAAAATTAAAGGCCAGTATCTCTCATAAATACAGCTGCAAAATCATTCATAAAATATTAGCTTATTGAATCTAGTAATATATAATAATTCATGAATAAAGAATGCAAAGTTGGTTTAATATTAAAAAATCAGAACAGCAACAGGAAAAAGATCAGCGGATTCTATCAGTATCAATACCCTGGTTGTGACATTGTACTAGAATTTTGAAAAAATGCTAATTTTTAGGGAAATTGGGTAAAGAGTACAAGTGATCTGTCTGTATTATTTCATACAACTGCATGTGAATCAACAATTATCTCAAAATTAAAAAATCAAGGGTATAATGAATAGAATATAAACGGTAAACACATATGATCATCTCAGTATGTACAGCATTTGATAAAATTCAATATTGTGATAAAAATTCATAATAGTATGATAAAGCTCTTAGCAAACAATGAATATCTTTTTTTTAACCCCCTAAAGCTAACATTGTACTTAATAGTGAAACATTAGACATCTTCCCACTGAATCAGGCACGAGACACATAATCATCATCACACTTCTATTCAACAATGTTGATTAGAACTGGAGGTTCTAACCAGCCTAATAAAGGCAAGGAAAAGAAATTAAAAGCATAGAGATTAGAAAGAAAGAAGTAAACTGTCTTACTTAGAGATGTCAAGGTTTTGAATGCAGATAATCCAAAGTAATCTACAAACAACTAGAATTTAGGAAGGTCACAGAGTACAAGGTCAATAATGATCCAATACATTTCTTCCTACTAGCAATAAACAATTGGGAAAAATAATATTTATAATAGCATCAAAAACATCAAATGTCAAGGGATACATGTAATGAAATATAAGTTAAATTTCTATGCTGAAGACTTCAAAACATTGTTGAGAGAAATCAAAGAAAACTTAAATATTGGAATAAATAAAGAGATACACCATTATCATGAACTGGAAGATTTAAAATAGTTAAGATGTCAGTTCTTCCCAACTTGATCTATTGACTCAATACAATCCAAATCAAAATTTCAGCATTTTTTGGTAGAAATTAACAAGCTATTTCTAACATTATGATGGAAATGTATAACCTAGGCAAAAGACCTATGATAGCCAAGACAATCTTGAAGAAAAACAACAAAACTGGACAACTTAACACTATCAAATTGCAAGACTTAAGATAACATTTCACTAATTAAGACAGTGCAACATTGGCCTAGAGATGAATAAGTACAATGGAACAGAATAAAGAGTCCAGAAACAAACCACACCTTTACAGTCACTTGATTTCTGCAAAATGCCACTATAATTCAGTGAGGGGTACAGTCTGCTGAATAATGAATGATGCCAAGTCAACTGTATATATCTGTATGGGAAAAAAATAAATTTTCACTCCTGCCTAATACCATGAAAAAAAATCAACTCAAAGTGGATCAGAGACCTAAATATGGAAGGTAAAACAATAAATCTTTTAGTAGTAAATAAAAAAATATCTTCATGTCCCTCTTTACACATCCAATAGTTCCTCAAAGTTTGGTTGAAATTTTAAACTACATTTGGTACATGGGTAAATGTGGATTTGGTCGTGTTCCACATAGCACCAGCAAGCCCATTGCTCCCTATGTCACCCACGTCCCTGGAAAAAATAAAAGTCATAAAAATAACTAACTATAAAAAGATACATTTTATTAAAATTAAAATCTCTTTTCAGCAAAAGATACCATTAACAAAGTCAAAAGGCAAGCCACATAGTGGGAGAAAATATTTCCTATATATATCTAACCAAAAAATCGTATCGAAAATATATTAAGGACTTGAATGAATCAGTAGGAAAAAAAGGCTTGAATACAGAAAAGTATATCCAAATGACTAATGAGCATAAAAAAGAGATGAAGACTATTAGTTACGAGGGGAAAGCAAAGTAAAACCACAATATACCACCATACACACATAAAATGGCTAAAATTTAAAAGTTGAAAATAGTAAATACAAGGATACAGAGCAATTTGAACTCTCATATAGTTGTTGATGGGAGCATAAATTGGTACACACACTTTGGAATGTGTTTGGTAGTTATTAAAGCTGAACATACATATGTCATGATCCAGCAATCTTACCCTTGGCTTAATAGGAAACAGAAATGAATGGTTATGTTTACCAGAAGACATGGCTAAGAATGTTCATAGCACCTTTACTGATAATAACCAAAAACTCAAAACAACCCAAATGACTGTCAGCAGAATATGTAAGTAAATTGTGCTGTATTCATGCAAATGGAATGCTATACAGCAAAGAATAAACTATGTCCGCATGTAGGTCAATCTTACAGACATAGTATTGAAAGAAGGCAGGCACAAAAGAGCACATATGGTATGATTCCATTTACACAGCATTCAAAAGCAGGACAAGCATACTAATCTTGGTGATAGAAGTCAGAATAGTGATTACGTTTGTGGTGGGGAATGAGTAGGATGGTACCTGAAGGAGTTTTCTGGTAATTTTGATATGAGTGGCAGTTAACATGGATGTGCTCACTTTGCAAACATTTATCAAGAAGGACACTTAAGATTTATTTACGTGACTGATACATTTTATACTTTAAAAAGATTAAAAAAAAAAACCTGTTTCCCAAATAACCACATTCCAATCCATTCCATGGAGTGATAATGTAAACGGCAGCAGGAGTGTTTCCTGACAGGAAGCAGGGTGCTTTGTTAGGGCAATGTTTCAAAGGTCAACAGAAACAGAAATGTCCTTGGAAAACTTAGTAACAATATGGAGTGAACTTGCCAATTTTCTTTTTAAGAAAGAAAGGTAAACTTATAGATAAGACTTATCTTCACTTTTTTTTCATTCGGATAGGAAAAATAAACTTATTTTCCACTGAGACGAATGATAGAGTTTCCAGTGACCAACGAACATAGCCTATGTGACAGCTCACTGGTTTCAGTAGGTCAGCAGAAACTGACATTGTTTTTCTCTCACACTTGGAAAGTTCAGACCATGAGATTATTAAAACAAGCCAGGCATAACATGGTAGGAGTCCAGCATTAATTTGTTAGTTGTGGCAGTTTCTCCTTCACAATGTGAAACTGAATTGGAAGAAAATATCAAATGACTGAAAGTCCTGTTTGCTGCCAAGATGTCAGAGTTGAAAAGGCATCCTTTGGAAAAAGATGGGGAATAATATTCTTTTCCTCTGTTAATATCTTTCCTTGTATTTAGAATTTGCAGATAGCATTATCTCTAGAACAAAGCTTCAGGATTTTCCTAACAATCAAGATTCCTAACTGCTTAGGGTGGTAGCTTTTTTAGATGACTACCTTTTCAAAGCAAATCTCGATAAATGTGTGATATACCACTGTGAAATTCCTATCAGGGTCACTTATTCAACGAAGCATTCATCAAACGAGTCTTAGCAGCCAGGCACTGTATGCAGGGCATTAGGGAAGCAAAATAAAATTGCCGTTTCCTCATGATACCCATGGTCCAGTAAAAGTGTTTGATGGGTCGAGGAGCCTCTCTGGCCTGGTGTAATCTGCTTTCGCTCTTGAACACTAACAGCGGAGAAGGAAGCAAGGAAAGTGGGGGATGGCAGGATATTCTAGGTGGGGTGGTGGTTGTGTTTTATGCAAAATATTCTATTTTTAGCACCTTTAGCAATAGGTTTGGAAAAGAAATTTAAAATGAGTGGAGGAGGATTTTATGTAGGTTTCAGTTCTCAGAACAACCAAGCATGCGAGTTTTATATTGTTGTTACTCAAGATTGGGGAAGTAGGGACAGGGTGTTGACAGCTTTAGCGGCAAGCTGGGAAGTTGCTTCTTGTGGCCCAGGAATGAGATAGGCTTGAAGAAATAGACATGTAAAGAGACAGGGTAGAGTATGGGGAAGCACTCTGTGGAGTCAAGCTGGCTGCCTTGCATCTTGGGCAGTCACTTCACCTCTTTCAAGCCAGGTCTCCTCATCTGTATTGCACAGACCTAATTCCCATACTATAACAGGATGGTTTCAATGTCAGAGAGAGTGCATGTAACCTGTACACAGTAGAAATGCAATTCGTGGCAGCTGAAGTGATGACTGACATGTAACAGCAACCTCTGGGAGTAAGGCCCAGGATGTCTGCTTGTCTTCACAGTGCGTTCATTCAAAGGTGCATAGAGATTGCCTGTGTTCAATCCATCACACGTTGTGAGGTGACAACAAAGCTCTGATGACAGCTGGGCCCTGAACACTTGTATCAAGGGGCTCATTCTGTCCTGGGGTTGTTACCAAACCAAACTTGGGTCCTCTCACCTCCAAGCAATAAAGCTAATCCACTGACACAGGGTTGTAGTGAAGGAAGTGTGGCAGCTCCCGCAGGGCTCCGAGCCACGCAGACGGCTATGCTCAGAAGACCCAAGTTCCCTGTTGGCTTTCAGGGAAACGTTTTCAAAGAAAGGACCAGAGACAGGATTGATTGCAGGGTGTGTGATCAGCTCTGGACATCCTTCTGACTGGCTGGTGGTGAGGTAATTGGGAAACAACATCTCAACCTTCTGGTTCCAACCTACGTGGGGTCTACCTGCTTGTGGTCGACGCGCAGTTACCGTCTTCCCCCTCGGGGGGGCTTCAGTATCTGCAGAACACCTCAAGGTAATAGCTCAGGATATTATCTACAGCCCTTGAAGAGGAACTAAAAGTCCTTGACTTCACTTAATGGCTAAACTGTTTTATGTTGCTTGACTGTTTTCCTCTGTTTCCGCATTTTCTCATTTCTCCAGTTAAATACACTCTTTGGGACTCTGGGAGGGCCTGGGAGGCTAAAGTTTTTCTACAAACAAGATTCAGGTGGGGGCCACGGTAAAGGTCTGTCCTGGGAAGGCCCCATAGGATCCTGCTCAGTTACCATTGCCCCTCTTCTTTGATATTCCTCAGTCTTGACGGGGTAACAAGCGTGGAACAAGAAAGGGAATAAAGTTTTGGATAGAGAGGTTAATCATAAATTCAGCAGAGGAACTCAGTTTTAGGGAGGAACTGGTTTCACGGTGGCTGGGGAGCATGGACTCAGCCACCACCTGGTGTGACGGCTCCAGGAGGCCATACCCTGGATGTGCTGATCCACATCAGGCTGTAGGGACAAGTCGTAAACCCACTTCCAAAATTCTTATGAGTGTGGGGGAGGGAGGGCACTCCGCACTGTGGGTCAGTGGTAACATTTTTGTTTCCTTCTGAACCCTAGAGACAGACACTAGAGGGATTCAGGGAACAGGGAAACCAGGGGATTTTTGTGGCAATGAAGGACTGATTGTTAAAGGCCCGCTTGGTCCTTGCTGTTTTACTAGATCTCCACACAACAGTTCTCTGTATTTTTCTTGGAATAAAACTGGCTTTTGCACTAGACGCAAGGCACTGTGCCCTCAAGCAGCGGAGGCTTTCTAAATATTAGCGACTTTAACTCGATTAAGTATTTCCATTTCCTATTCCTGTGACTTTGTGAGGCTCGAGTTCCCAGAAAGGCTGCTTTTATTGATGATGACTCTTTAGGTTGGTTATGTTTTAAGTCATTCTGTTTTTATCATCTGAATAAGTGCTAAAAAAGTCAAGATACTTTTAAAAGATTCTTCACAAAGAAACGTTTTCAGATTTCCAGCTGAGCAAATGAGTTTCAAAGGACTGCAGATTCAGATAGCCTAACAGATTCTTAGTAAAAGGTTTTGTCAGCATTTCCTTCCTGAAGTCCGGTGCTCAACTCGCTGACCTCTCGCCTTCTTGGGTTAGGGCCATCTTTTTGTATAGTCTCAGCTATAAAAATATGCTAGGCCTTGCAACATTTCCCCCCTAAGAGGAATGAAAATTAACTCTGTTGGATTCCCCTCTGTATGACTAACGGAGGCCAGCGAGGCATTTTTACCTTAAAGCCCTCAGACACCAAATCAGAGGAATGGTGGCCTCTGGCCTCACTTGAGGTTCTGGTGCAAGCGTGCAATTAACTTCAGATCTTTGATGTTCTTTGACTTACGTTTCAGTTTTCCATGGGTTATTTTCTCCTAGCCACTTAAAAAGTGTCTTCTGTGACTTTTGTGCTATTTATGTAGAAATGTCAACGTGGAATATAGCTGGGCCTAAAATCTGGCGAGATGGTCCACACTTTTCAACATGCCTTGTAACGTTTGCTGAGCACTAGCTGTTTGGATTTGCTTATTTTTCATTTTTTTAAGCTTTTGACTTTTTTTTAAGCATTTAATTCCTTTGAAATATTTCAATTCTAAAACTATAAACTATAGTTCTTTTTAAGGGTATCTCAGATCTCAAATTATAAGAGGTGACATGGTGGGGTTTTGAAGTCACTGAGCAGAAAAATTTTAAAAATTAGCCATTTTAATGAGGAATATATGACTAAGACGGTAGTTGCTAGTTTTCCTTCAAGTCTAGTCTCCCCTGCTTCTATAACAATGCATTCATCTAGCTGTTTTAATTGGTCACCCCAATTAAAGTCTCTATTTTCCAGCTTCCCTGGCAGCCATGTGACAAAATTCTGGCCAAAAGAAGGGGAGCAAAAGTTGCGCACAATTCCTGGGTCACCTCTGTCCCTCCCCTTCTCCCCTCTTCCTTCGTTCTGCTGCTGAGCCGCCGTGGACTGTGTGACAAGAGGAACGCCTTAAGGACCCCAGAATAGTAGACACTCAACATCTAAAAGTGGACACCTACTGACCTTGCCAAGCTGCTATGCCCACGCAGACTTTTACGTGAGAGAAGATAGCCTTGTCTTGTTGGAGTCATTGTCAGTGTGTGCCTTCTGTCATACACAGCCAAGCCTAATCCTAAAACAGAGAC